ACACAGCCCAAGTCTCGATCGAATCAAAAGCCTTCTCATAGTCCACAAACGCCAAGCATAGTGGCAAGTTATACTCCTCGGTCTTCTGTATAACTTGCCGCAGCGTATGGATGTGGTCTATGGTACTATAGCCTTTCCGGAAACCGGCTTGTTCGGGAGGCTGGAAGTCATCGAACCTACGTGTGAGACGATTTGTGATGACCCTCGAGAATAACTTGTAGACATGGCTCAGAAGTGAGATGGGTCTATAATTTTTCAGTAGAGTGTTATCTCCCTTCTTGAAGAATAGTACCACCACACTTCTGCTCCATGCCGCCGGCGTTGCTCCTTCGAATATGACGGAGTTGAAGAGCTTCTGAAGGACTCTCAGTACCGGCGTTCCGCCCGCTTTCAGAAGCTCTGATGTGATTCCGTCCTCGCCCGGCGCCTTGTTGTTCTTGAGCTGCTTGAGGGCCATCCTAATCTCGTATAGGCTGATGTCCGGGATATCCTCGGTATAGTGTCGGGTGAGTTTAGCTCTTGGATCGGCGACTGAGCTAACAGGTCTAGTGACCGATGTGTATAGCTGTCCATAAAACCTCTCGATCTCATCCAAAACTTCGGCCTTCGTCGACGCTACACTGCCATCCTCCGCCTTCAGCTTCGTCAGCTGTGTTTGCCCAATAGACATGTCCCTAGCGAACACTTTGGAGCCTTGGTTCCGCTCTATCGCTTCTTTAACCCTATTGGCGTTAAAGTTGCGGATATCGTGTCGCATGGACTTCCATATTTGTCTATTGAGCTGCCGATGTGCTTTAGCATCGGCAGAGGTCTGGAGTACCATAGCACGTCGTTCTGCCATGAGTTTGAGGGTGCGATCGGTAAGCTTCTGCGGTCTGTCTTTTCGGCGGGGTCTAAAAAACTTCGACCCGACCGCATGGACAGTTTCTACAAACCTATTGCTAATCTCGTCCACTGACTCGCAATTCTCCAGGGACTCAAAACGATTCGATAGCTCGATCTGAAAGCTCTCGGGACAACCGATATGTGCATTTGAAGGTCGGAGCGTAGACTTCATCAGACGTGATCCTTCCAGCTTTATATTGATATTCAATGTGCCTCTGACCAGTCGGTGATCGCTGCCGGTTTTTACTTTATGGATCACAGAGACATCATTGAACATCTGTCGCTTTGTTGTCATGATGAAGTCGATCTCATTTTTTGTGGAACCGTCCGGGCTCATCCAGGTCCATTTCCTGTGAGACGGCTTCTGGAAAAAGGAGTTCATCGCAAAGAGGTCCTCCTTCTCCAGGAACTCAGCCAGTCTCTGTCCCCTGTGGTTCCGTTGCCCATACCCGAATTGCCCCACTCTCAGCTCGTTATCGCCCCGAGTTCCCAGTTTCGCGTTGAAGTCCCCCATAACAACATTGAAGTAGGTTTTATTAGTATGTATGGCCCTACTTATGTCCTCATACATAACCTCTACTTCCTCGTCTGGGTGTGTCGAGGTCGGTGCATAAACCTGGATAACCTTCAACGAGTATCTATTGGATACCCTGAGTATCAGGTACGCCACCCTGCTCGACACACTTTCGATGGTAAGAATGTTGTTGACGAGGGACCTGTGGACGAGGAACCCGACACCACCTTGGGACAGTTGTTCGCCCTCCCGGTAGTAGAATAGGTTGCCGGATCTTAGGGTTATCGTGTCCTCGCCCTCTCGTCGGACTTCTGACAACCCCACAATACTCCAGCGCAACCTACCCAATGCCTCTTCCAGCTCAATAATCTTCTCGTCTGTCCTCAAAGTGCGAACATTGTGTGTTACCAGGGCCAGTCGTCGTCGGGGGTGGTAGCCTTTTCTCCACCTCCGGGGATTCTTAGCACCCCGTGTCCCGCCGTTACCCTGACCGCTACCACGGTAGCCAGGAACGGCGGGACTGCCGGAGACTGGGGGCCTGGTTTTATCTGAGCAGTTCATATGGGGGGATTTGCCAATACTCACCACGCTTGGCAGGCGGGTTGGCGAGCGCAGTTAGGTCACCGATAATTTTTAAAGAATGCTGCTCCCCATTCCTCGGTGTCAGTTTTACGACGTACCAGGGTTCATATGCTCAGAATAATTTGTAAGGTATTATAAAAGCCCCTACATAATATAGTTTACAAATCCTAATCAATTTACTATTTCTAGAACATCTCTAGGTTCGAGAAACGAGAACTAAGGTCCTAGGTGCCTAGTGTGAGTTTAAAGTTAACGCGATTGAAACGTATTTGGCCTGGCCGTATTTGGCCTCTGATTGGTTGGTTAACTAATAGCTGGCCAATCAGAGCGCCGCACGTCATAAACGTCGATCGAATTAAAGTAAAGCGAACTCGCATTAGGCCTTCTGTTCGTTAAAATTCAAAGTACCGTCTAGTTTTAGTTAATAATTTACAATCTGTCCCGAGACACCCAACCATGCGACTAAAATTAGTTTCATGCTCCATTTAATATAACGAATATACTTGTCGATTGTAATTAAGTTTGCTCATTAATGAACTGGAAATATGTATAATATTAATGTCTCTATTAAGTATACTACCGTCTTAAATATCCCGTCAATTAGAAGTTAGTAAGACACCCACTTAACATTTACTGGTTGTTTGTAATAAGCATTAATTTCCATTAAGAGTTTTGGTACACCGACGTATTCGTCTTTTAGAAAATCTAAATTTAAGTCTATTTCTGTTTCAATTAGTCCCATCAATTGCTATTCCACCTGGACGTTGCTTGGATCATAAAGATCTTAACTACTTAATTAAATTATTAGGCATTCCTAGGAAGAACGAAAGGCCTTTTAAATCTGTAATTTTTAGTTCTGACGCTTAAAAACGTACGGTCTAAGTATTTCTGTACTTTATCGCTTTATTTTGCCACTGAATCCCACAATTATTGTGATCATTCGAGTGGTTATATCCAAGTCTATTAGTAAAGGAATGCGCCTGTAACACTCTTATATCAGCTACACCAATATGTCGTGCATGATTTCCTTCATAAATCGCCTAAAATGGCCGCCAGACATTTATAAGCGCGTTGCGTTCTTAAAGAAATAACTATGTAGATATTTTATCATAAGCAAATTCGTGTTTAGCGCCTGAATAGTTTTACGATTTAAGAGGAATCTTTTGAATCCATTATTTTTATCATCATCAACTTTTTTTTTTACAAAAGACTTTCTTTTTTTAACTTTCGTCTTGTCTCTTTTTACATGGCTAGCTATCTACTCCAATTTTTTTAATAGTTACATCCTATATTTATTGAAAATAACATCAACATTTTATTCACGTGTAAACTGAGAAAAGCTCTACTACTTTCAAGTTATACCGGGACTCTTACTGTTCAGCAGCGTATACGTCGCGGCGACATCGCGCAGCCTAGTAGTGCTTTTCTCAGTTTATTCACGTATGTTGTTATTTTCAATTGCTACATACATATCTAGCAAAAGTTTTATGAAAATCCATTCAGGAGTTTTGAGAAATATGTAGGTAAAGTACATTTATTTTTAGTGGTATTGGTGAGTATTTTACGAGATTATACTTTGGAATGTGTAAGTGTACCTACAGAGTACGCATAAGTATAAGGCTGTTACACTTTGCCTCGCTTCGTAGGGGAATTCGTGAGGACCGTGTGTGTGGACGTGACGTGCGTGGACAAATGCCTTCGACGCTGTCGTTCGCTTGGATGGCCGGAGTGAATTGTGGGGTAAACTAGAAATGGAATTCAGAAGGATCATTCATTTAAAGATTTGAATAGTTATGAGTTTTTCTTTCTTTTTTTGTTTTGTTGTAGTTGTTTTTACTGCTTCTGTGATTGGTAATTTTCTTCTAATAAGATTTTTGCCACCTTTGATAGTTAGTTTGCTTATAGAAGTGAATTAAAATTGCATACAGTTTTGACGATTCGCGTCATTGAGTAATTAATAAATTAATAATTTTGATGATGCCATCCTTGTTTATTTGGTGTCTAAGAATTAATCTCTTTTGTTTTCGTTATAAAAAAGGTTTGATTGATTTACTTAAGATAGAAAATTTTACACAAAACATCTTCATCCTTAGGTGGATCATATACTTACTAATATTATAAAGAGGAAAGATTAGACTGTCTGTTTGTTTGAATTAAATAACGTCTGAAACTACTTGACCGATATGAAAAATTCTTTTACTGTTTGGAAAGCTTCACTATCCCCGGTGAACCTATGGTATAAACAAAGCGAGTGAATCCTGCGGCTTAATGCGGCTGAGCTGAGTGACAATTAAAATAAACCTTCTTACATTTAACTGTGTAGTGTAAAAGTCTATCCAAATGCTTTTCTTCACACTACAGATACGTGCATCAGTGTTTTTGGGAGCTGTAAGATTTTATCTCAGCGCTTTATTGTCACGACGCGTAGACGCGTAACTACACCGTCGATACTGTGATAACTTTGTATTGTTTACTTCGATAAATATCTTGTTAAGTTTAAAAAATAATACAAAAGAACACTTCCCATAATAAAAAATAAAAGATCCCTGCTCGAAACCTTTTTGTCCTAGTGTGATGTCTTACAAGCCCAACCTACTTTTCCTTGACAAATTAACTATCCAACACAAAAAGCTTATTAAATTCGACCTAGTAGTTTCTATGTTTAGAGCGTTCAAAGAAACCTAAGTTTTCAACTCTATAATAACTAAATAGTACCTACAATCTACATATTTTAAAATATTTGTAAGGATGAAGTTCAGAAAGGTTATTCGCGATAAATATGAACACAAAAACGATTGATGTATTTTACAGCTAAGACGCCAAAAGTTTTTAATCCCACCGGATCTCGAGCAAAACAGTAATTATGATACAACAATATCCCGTCGAAAATTTAACAAAATTAAAGGCTTTTAGCGCAAAAAGTAACAGAACAACTTTGGCACACTGGCTGAACGTATAATTAAACCTTTCGAACTTTAGTTTCACGATAATCAATCTTTGTTTTCGCGCCAAAACTAACCCTTTCGCTGCCAGGCCGCCCGACCGCCAGATATGGGCAATTTTGCCCGTTGAAACTTGCGAACCGGCATCGCCATCCCGACTGGATTGTCTAATTATAAAAGAATTCGCTTATGCGTCATCCTTTATTTATCTGGCGGGAATCTCGATCCGAGCTTGGGCAAAAAGAAACCAGTTAGCTTATTATAAAGCGCTCAAGTGCATTCCAAGTGTGATATAAATGTGTGTGATGATAACCAAATAGGCCATAGTTTTATGGGTTTTAATGGAAATAAGGAAGTTGTATATGAACCAACTGAATAGTTACTTACCTGCAAAGAATACACGATGCAATCTCTGTTTTACTTTACAGTAAATATGTTTGTCCTAAGCAATAAATAGCACCAATTTTACCGTTTTTCCAAACACGATAGATATTAAACGAGCCTCATAAAGTATCTTATACCTAAGTGTTGTACTAAGTAATGAGTTTGCCTTTTCTGGACAATAATCAAACTCTAGAATGTCAATGAAACGTCACTTGAATTCAAAAACGAACGGGAGAATCAACAGACAGCAGTACTGCAGATTTTATTGCGTCCATAGATAGATTTAAGAGGTTTTAAACATCTCGAAACAATATTAAAGAAAAGGGCTATCAATGTGATAGCCTACAAGGATATTAACCCACATTAGCAGCCAACCGTTCACCTGCCAACCACAAAATGGCTACAAAACTTTATGCCCGCGCTAAATACTCGAACAAAATTCCGTAAAACCACCACTCCGCTTCCATTGCCACTCATAAACGCAGGCGGTTTAATTAAGTTGTTAGTGAAGGAGCAATGGATCCGGACCATTATTCTTGATCCGGTCAGCTCATAAAGCGAGGACTATAAATGCAACTTAATCTTCGACATATTTATTGTGCACTAAATATAAAATGGAAAATCTAATATGGCTGCCGAGGCGGCGTTTCGCAACTTACTACTTTAGGCTGCGATCACACTTATATTGAATAAATTTTGTTTCTTTGAGAGATTTTATCTTAAGTTAAGGATCGTTTAATATTAATACTTATTAGTTGTACATCAATTATTTTTAAGTAAAATTTAGACATCATAACCTGCTTCTTTATCTGACAACACGAGACTACACTAAAACGTCGGACTTTGACTTAAATGGGTCTGTGGGCAATTAAGTAATTAAGATAAGATGTAATTCATACCTACAGCCGTCGGGCGGTCAGACTCATTAGCTTGATGGAAATAACTTAGTTTAAACTTAGGATTGAGTGAAACACGATCCCATTGGTCAATTCCAGGGTCGCCAAGTACCTATTATTCAATGGTGAAATTATTGTTAACGCAATTGAAACGTTACCGCGTTCAGCCCTCTGATTGGTCGGTTAACTCGGCGCCAGCCAATCAGGGCGCCGTACGTCATAAACGTGTCGATAGTATTAACGTAAAGCAAACTTATATTAGGTACTCTGTTGCAGGATAATTATGCTCAGTACATGCAAATTGGCTTGCCCCCTTAATGCTTAACCTTACTGCGAAAAGTAGATGTCATATTAAATATGTGCCTTCACCTCAAGGTAATAAGATCCACAATGGTGTGTTATAGTAAAACACTTAATACGATGTAAATTAGTCTCCCTATAAATCTGTATCGTTGTCAAGTCGCGCGGAGAAGCTAACGCCTCGCCCGCCGACTCACCGTTGACTTGAGAATCTTGAAGATAATTTTATGGAGTCCGCGTCTATGAGTCACGCGCGCCGCTGAAGGGTTAAGCCCGTTCGAAAAGTGTTTTGATTACGTTTAATCGCGTTTAGAATATACGTTTTGAATTATTAATAACTTTATAAATATCTGTGCGAGTTAGGTGCCGTGCTTACAAGTGGATTTAGTAATATATTTTCAAATTTAAGTAAGGTTTTTTTTTACTTTCGATTTTTTTTATTGTAAGTTGTGTTAATTATACATATACCTAATTAGGTATCTACGAAATAAATTTTCTAAAAACGTATTTCGCGCTTGGGAGAAACAACTACGGTTACTCGTATAAATTAATTTTGAAGCTTATACCAAACCAAAAAAAAAAGTACGCACTTAATTGTTTTAATAAAAGCAAAAGTATTTTCGCATTCAGCCTTAGTTCATTATGAGTCCGTCGTGCGCCCATGTGTTCGTTGTAATAGCACCATAAACAAGTGTACAGGGTCAGTGTTGTGCTTGCCGGAAAGAGGAATCGTCCGTAACGGTAGCAACACTCAAGTCACAGGCCGACGATTCTTCCGGCCACGGAAACATTTGCTCAGACATCGATGGTTAATTCAAAACAAAGTAGACTCGATTATAGGAATCGATTATTGTAATCAATTTGTTACTACATTAGTAAAGTAGTGTAAATAAGTGCCAATGTTTTTTATTTAGCTTGTATTCCGGTTATGATTGATGTCTTTTTGCTCAGTGTTGTTAAAAAAGGTTCCGTTACATGTTCATAAAACAATCTTTACCGCATTCGTACATACTATATTTACAATTTAAGTACTTAAGCATGTTACTTTCTATACTTTCAACTTTGAAAAAGCTATAAAATAAAGTAAACAATAAAATTCAATATAAATCTTTGCTTGCAAGTGTCTTGTGTCACGAATTAACACTGGCCACACTGACCGTTAATTCAAACTAGGAACTTAACTTTTATAGCCCTGTTCCACGCACGAAAGGTGGCCTAGGCCCGGGGGGACAACATTAATATCACTATGACCGTTCTCGATTAGTGGTCCCAACGCGATTCCATTTGATGACTTCATATTGTCCATTATTATTTTCCTACAAAAAGCATTCTGTAATAGTCGGTGCGAGATCGCGCGGGTGGTCCATGTAATTACAACCAAGTTTCTATATGCCCTTTCTCTTTCACACCTACGGTGATAGCGTTCTAAATATGCGTGTACCATTTTAACTCGCACGGTAATCGCTCTAATCCGTCTTTCGTGAGATATGCAAACAATGGCTGCCGATAGATTACTGTGTCAACTAATATTTATTATATAAAAATATTAGACGATAAAATAAATAGTTTTATTTGTTCTGTTTGATTAGGAAGCCTTATTTGTTATAAGAGTATCGGCGGTCTTTGTTCCTTTATATCTGGAATACGCGGGTAGTGGAGAAAGTTTAATCAAAATGAGTTGATAACTGTGATATGAGACATTTCGTTGAAAAAGTCGTGGGGGCGACAGGTACACAGTCTCCTTGAAAAGTTACTTTCGAAAACAGATCGTGGTGGGGTCAAACAGTGTTGTACTGTCCGTGGGCGCATGGTCATTTGACATTTCTCCAAGTTATGTGGTTCATTTGTGTTCTCGGTCAGTAATTTTCGACCTAATGTATCCCACGCAGGTGGTCGACCGGGACCGCGTCTCTAATTATGTAGTTTTCACAAATAAACAGCGTCCAACATGCCTATTTGGAAATTATATCATTCCATTACAGATAATCGGTTTGGGTCACTATCGATTACAGATAATAATCGGTATTTTGATAGTGTAGATGTTGCTACGAACAATGGAGGCTAAGATTAACGTTTGGGAGTGACAAAAGCTGTGTTGTATTGTTCTTTGATGTTATTTAATTTGGGAGGCATTGACCTAAAATGATTTTGTACACAATATACCTATCGGCTATTATAAATCTAAACAATTTATCAAATTTAATTGCATCTTGTGTTCGAGTAGGTAACTTAGTTCAACTAAATATGAACAATTTTTCCTACTTTTTCAGCTTCAACTGGTACTTTTAAATTAATAATATTAATATTTTTGCGCACAATTAAAGCCATCTTGTCTGAAAATCAAATTCAAATCCATCGAGCCAAGCACGATTTTCTTTTCATTGAGAAGTGCTAAAACCTATTCAAAACATCTTGAAGATAGGGTTGCTCAAGATAGAAAATTTCAAAAGAAAAAAAAATCGTTTGTATTATTCGTGAAAGTTTTATTCTACAGGACATTACACTTTACAATCTAATTAAAAACATTAATCATTAACTAATAAAATCAGATTAATAAGGAATTCCATTAGTGTAAGTACAAGGTAGATAATACATTTATCAATTAAAATGATTTTTATTGTCGAATTCATTGCCTAATTGCAGGAAGGCTATAAAAAGTAGTTGCGGATGTAAAAGTTTTTACATTGCGAAATTTTTATTTCTCATAAAATGTGTGGCAGCCCTAGTTTTAAGGGGTTGCTGCGAAAATATTAACGCTTAGAGAGTCTGAGTGGCGTGGAATGAAATGATTACCCTCCTTAGCGAAGGCGATAAGAGTGCCCTCTACTGGGCTGCCGACATTTTATTTAAAAGACAATTTTTTCTTTTCTTTTTCACTTTTTTTATTAACGCTGTAGGATTTAAGTTATTAATAAGTCAACTTTTTTTAATAAATATGTTACATTATTGTAATGAAAATAGAAAATGGCGTAAATTATTTGTAGTGTGTCAATAAAATAGCCTAGTTACCCATTAAAATTGTGTCAATAGTAATGTATCGCGTTTCACGTTGGAGAAGACGTTGTAAAAACATTTAATTATTCACATCATGTTGTTTTTTAATGAGTTTAAGTTTTTCAATTAGATTTCGGGTGCATGCCACGGATTGTCGCATTTGTCGCGTGTTACAGCGCCGTAAATTTCGAAGTTGTCGCGTTGACTGAAAAATTGTGCTAGTACCTATTGAGATAACGTTAAAAAAAACTTCGAAAAAAAAACGTCTTACATTTTAGTAATTTGCTCCTAGGTTTCACATGTGGTCTTACTCAATAAGAAATTGCAGAAATTGCCAAGCTTCCCAAACATAAAAATGGTTTGCGCGGGAAAGCAAGTTCAAGAGTTCATTCATAACAAAAGAAAATCATTCAATGCGCCTATAGCTCTTATATGTTTACCACATGGAAGACACACAATCTCATTTTACTCATTTATGTTTGATTATTTAAAGTTGTTTTCAAAAATCGAATGAAAAGAACGAATAAAAAAACAAACCGAAGAACAGCTAATAAATGCATAATTTTACGGCGAAATAAT